ATATATATATATATATATATATACATATATATCATGCCGCCCCCTCTAATTACTCGCTACTTGCTATCGTGTACTAATAATGACAACATATTCCTGCTCATCACGTCGTTTTGGTTCAGCTTAGTCAGCTCAAAACAAGAGCATGAAATTCATGAAATTAGCATAAATATAAAACATAAGGCCTGTTTCGTTTGGTGAAGTGTAAAATGTGAACAAGATTTAAAAAAGTGTAGTTCTGCACTAGAAAGATATCAGCAGAAATATACATTACGCTAAGTTCGCCATGTACTTATAATGTTATTAATGTATGTTTGCTTATCGACGCATATTTAATTAATTTGTGGTAGATATGTCATTAACTTACGCATCCATCTTTAAAGTTCTTAGCAAGCAACGAACGATCGCAAGTGAAAGCAAGAACAGGTGAGAAAGTAGATTGAGAATAACTGAATAACCGTTCTGTCATATTTTAGGTACAGGAGGGGGTCAATCTGAACTGGATGAAGGAGGAGGGAAGACACAAGGGCAGGAACAAGAACAAGAACAAGTTTGCAGGATTTGGTAAAATCCGAGTTCCGGGACATCTCAATTATCGAGAAATTGTACGTCGATTCGAACGCCAAAGCACATTCCACGGCATATCACATGCTGCTCTTGCACCTAACACTAAATGGCGCATCATTTGGTATGCCGCATTCACGATTTGCTTCTGCGCCCTTCTCATTCAAATCATCCTACTGATTCGAAGATATCGAACCTACTCTAAATCCGTTGATCTTGATGTAAGTTATCAACTACTTCAACTCCAGCAACTACCTCAAGCACTTTAATAGCAAATAACTTACTATTTATTTATCTGTAAATATCAACCATATTTATCAATCTAGCTTACAAAAAGTCGCTTGAAAAGAAGTAATGTAGTTCACTACCCCTATATAACTTCTAAATTACCACTCACTTATCTGCCACTTTTAAACACATTGCAATAGAGAAAAAATTATATAAGTATTCAATTTGCACCTTAAAAAAAGCAGTTTCTTCACTTTTTCAAGTCAATATACACATTGCAAAATATGTTTATTAATCAAGAACAGATTTTGTATTTCAGCTCAAATTCGAAAATGCTCCATTTCCTTCCATAACACTATGCAATTTAAATCCATACAAACTATCTATGATTTCAAAAGAAGAACGAACAAGAACAACGGTATTATCACCGATTATTTCGCAGTCCCTAACCTTTTAGCATAAAAACATTTTGAACCTCTGCCTTTTGTTCTCTTAAATTTCTCTAACTCATAAACTTAAATCAATTTTTTAATCAGATGGATGCATTCTCACACGTACAAACGGATATGGAATCAAATGGTATTGCTGCTACTATGGAATCTAAACGAAAAGGTGAAGCTGTTAGAAATATTAATTTGTGTTTCAGTGCATAATCGTATGAATTATACTGCTAAAAAAATCGTTGCTGTTTGATGATAATATGACGCCTAAGAAAAATAAAGCATTAATAATTTATGTAATTTACAATATAGTAAATACATACCAAACTTGATATAATTAATAAATTAGAGCCAAATTCTAATTTCGAAATATTAACAACTTTTGTTTAAAAAGTCAATAATTTATTTTCCATTGAAATGCTAAATTAATGAAACAAATGCTACTTCAATACAGAAAGGAATTTCATTTGATCGAATTATTCAGATCTAAAAATGTATTTTCAGTTTCCTTCTATAATATTCCACATTTAAGATTTTTAATTTGGAACAAAAGTAGGACTAAGGTGATATAATATGTAGATGTTAAAAAGCAATGGAAGTGAATCAAAGAAAGTATATAACTACATTTAATAAGTTAGGAGCTTAAAAAATCGCAACTGCACGGATAACTTAAGTGAACTTTTAAAACTTTTTCAAGTAATAATTAAGTCTGCAAGAAATACAAGTACATCATTTTTTTACAGGCAGAAAATCAAGGAATACTCTATCAGAGAAAATAATTTCTAATAGAAGATATCACCAAGCTTCTGCATTATGTCTCTGTGAAGTTAATTCACTGACCGGTGAACGCAAGAAAGGAAGCTGTTTTGCAGCTTACAAAGGAAATATTTCAATTCAGTTTCATGATATTCTGGCAAGATTTCATCCCAGCAAATGTATCTGCCAACTGGATTGGTTTTCCAAAACTTTTTGGCCTTGTTTTCCATGTATGTTACATTACCTTCCATTTTATTTTCACGCCATCATTCACATTCACTAATTTGCAAGATTTTCCACAAAGGCTCTCTGAATTCAACTTGGCTTCATTCATAACAAACCTAACAAATAACATAATAACCATTTACCAAACTTTATATAATTAACAGTCTACAGCTAAACTTTAATCTTGTAAAGCATGAACAAAATATCTAATTTTCATAGTACAGAATTAAAGAAATGTTGACTTTAAACTTTATATCTGATATCTTATATAATCAAATAGTTTATTAATAACACCTTTTGAGAACTGTATGTTTAGATAATACATGGAAAGAGCGATTATGCAAAGAATGTTCGGAAGACCTGGGACATTGTCCTATGAGATTTTTTGAAGGAGAAACGAACAAAATAGAGACAACACATACCGGCAAAAAAATATGTCTTTGCCATCGAGAATACAATCACTGTATCGCAAATAACGAATACGGCTATATTTTAGAAATTGAGCCAAAAACAGATGTTTCTAGTATGACTGTTCCCGAATCTTTAAGAAGTGCACAACATCTGCAAACTACCTCCACAACTACTACTACCCAAGCACCTGACCTCAAACAAGCATTGGGATTCGAGGTTTACTATTCACCTAATCAGGACAAGAAACGATGGCTTTTTATTTTGCTCTTTTCATATATTTCAATTTGAAAAAAATTAGAGAAAGATTTTCAAAACAAATCTCGTGAAAATTTTTGGTCCAATCCTTATAAGTAAAAAATAAACAACTTTCTACATATGTTCATACCAAAATTTTGCTCCAAAGCTTGTCTTGAAAATATATACTTAATATATTCGATTCACAATTTTTAAATACTTGGTTTTATAGGGATTAACTGACGAAATAGCAATCAAAGAGCAAGCCAAAGAGAATCTGATGTTTGCGGTTGGTGAACTGAACAATACGGCGAAGATCAGAATGTCACAGCAAAAACATGAACTGATATACAAATGCTCTTTCAATCAAAAGGACTGTGATATTGACAAGTAAGTAAACTATAAATGAACATAAAGGTAAATCGACTCCAAAAAAACAGAACTATGCTGCTTATTTTTGATGAAAATTATGAACACTTCAACCAATAATTAAGAACATGCTTCAACCTCATAATATCATTTACTCACTTTGCAGTGACTTTAAATTACATTATGATCAAACGTATGGTAACTGTTACACATTCAACTGGAATCGTACCAAGGAAGTAACAGCTTTTCGGGCCGGTGCTAAGTTTGGTATACTATCAATTGAAATTATTTGAATTCAACTAAACCAGGATTTCCGTTTGTCGATCATACGACTATATATTAACTTACCAAAAAATGATGTACTCTTATGGTAAATGTATAAGACCGTGATGATAAAATTAATAGAGTGCATTAGAAACAAAAAAATTTATACCACTAGAGTTTGCTAATTCTTTTCTCTTGAAATAAAACTTGAAACAATAATTAAGCATCAAAGGAAATCTCTGAGCTATGGAAACATTACCAGGGAACTAAAACTCTACTTTTCTTGCTAACGTAGATGAGACTAAAAACATATGTTAACATGGAGAAATCGATGTCCTGACAACTGCATCTAGACACTAAACAAACTGAATTTTTCCTATGCAGGATTTTATATTCATTAGGTTTACGTGTGCTTCTGTATGCTGATGTATCGGAATACTTACCCACATCAGAATCCGTGGGTTTTCGGATAACTATTCACGATAAACGAGTAGTGCCATTTCCTGACGCCTTCGGTTATAGCGCACCGACAGGTTTCCTGTCATCGTATGGAGTTCGTATGGTGTGTTTAATGAAATGATCCCTATAGTATGCAGCACAGAAGTATTTTGCAATAGCAATCTAATCTTAATTTGAACATTTTAGAAAAAATTCAACCGAATACCTGCTCCACATGGCCAGTGCTTAAATGATCGTGAATGGTACCTAAATTCAATATACCCTGGCTTCAAATATTCAGCTGAGGTAACCAGTTATTATAGCTACAGAAGTTCATAACAATACTTTGGAATTGTCCTTTGATTTCAGGCTTGCCATCGAAGTTGCACTCAAAAAGAAATTATTCGTATATGTGGATGCGCCGATCCAGCGTATCCTATACCTGCCGCTACAATCTCATGCAAAGTTAGCGACCCCATCGCTAGAGAGTGCACCAAAAATGCTACAGTACTTCTAGGACGTCTAATTGCGGAGGGAAAGTTGGCAAACTGCATGTGTCACCAATCTTGTTCGTAAGTTATATATAAGACTTCAAGTGGTAACTGTGAAAAAAATTACCTGTAAATGAGTACATATTTGTAACGCATGTTATCAAGACAAGGAGGAGACGTAAACTATCAATAATCATCTTCTTGGAAGCAATTAAAATTTCATATCTTAATTTTGGTAGGACAAGTGATCTAATTTCTCTAAATAGTAATTATGAAACTTTAGTTAAAGCATATTCTTTTAACTTCAATTACGATAAATGATCGGCAAGCATCTCAACTAAAAACATAACTGTAACTGTATAAGCGAATGGTGAGGAACTGAATCTTTTGATATGAAATATCACTACAAATTAATCGCTAAATGCCAAATAAAGCTGGTTTCTCAACTTCAAATCACAGGCACTTTAAAATCAGTATTTTTCAAACAGGGAAGTAAATTATGAAGTTACATATTCGGCTGCACGATGGCCTTCAGGAACTTCGAAAGTAATGGAATGTGATGCTGTAGACGATCTTTGCATGGAAAGATATCGAAAAAATGCAGCAATGATTCAGATCTTCTACGAAGAGCTCAATTATGAAACGCTTACAGAAACACCTGCCTATACTGTAATTAGATTATCTTCCTGCAGCTACTAAGCAAATTACGTATTTCTTGTAATTACATAAGATTCATTATTATATGGTAAAACATTATATTTAGCTGCAAACCAATTGATTGCAAAGAAAGCGACTTATTCTTATCAACAACAGTAATATACCAATAATGTAATTTCAGCTTACAAGTGCCTTAGCTGATTTGGGTGGTCTAACAGGCCTTTGGATTGGAGCATCCGTAGTCAGCTTAATGGAAATCGTTGCACTAATTGTATATACTGCCCAAGCGTATGTGAGAAAACGAAAAAGGTGAGATGTTGAGTTGAAAAAAATATGCTTTCCGAAAACTTTTTTAAAAGTTTCAAATTTAAAAACAAGACTTTTTAAAATATATATATATATATACAAATAACCTGAGAGCTAGCAATTTGGATGTTTTTGCCTCGTTTTATTTAAATGAAGATTTCTTGACTTATTCAAGTACATTCGCTTGCAAAATAAATTATTCAGTAATTTCATGAATGGTGAAACAGAAGTGTTCTGAATAATTAAAATTTCAGCGCTTCCGCTAACCAATTATCGCGTCCCAATGTATATCCAAGATATATTAAACGATCTCTTTCATCATCAATTTCAACGATGTCCTCCGGTCAGATGAAAATATCAGTAAATTCAAGAATATCTGAAGAATCAGTGATAAGTAAGTTCCTCATAAGAAAGAATGACAAGTAGAAAGAGCAATAATTTAAGAGCAAAACAATTATATTCAAATTTTATAATAAATTAAACCAGAGAATCATCTATTTCGTCATTTGCGATATTTGTCTTAATTTACGAGCATTCATGAACAGAAGAACCTGAACCGGCTGAAGTCACCGATACAATGACAGATACAGATTGCAAATATATTCCACCAGGAACTGAATTACCTTGTGAATGTGTCTTCCAAAAAGAAAAAATACGGGTCACTTTTAAAAATCTTCTCTCTAATAAAATTGCACTTTTTACCCATATCATTTTCTTTTACATGAAATTGATGAGTTGAAACTAAGAATTTCAGATAGCGATTAGCTATCTGAAAGTATGATGAATAACATTCATTAGAAAAAACTGATAAGTATGTCTTCATTCGTTTGTTTTAATTAAAGTATAGAGCTTCAGTTGATGAGTGCATTATGTCCGGAACATGGTTATCTGGTTCGAAGAAAAGTTGGTCGAGGTTTGTACTATAAGGTACCAGGCTACAGTGATAATGGTGACGATGATGAAGACGAAAATGAAAGTGAAAGCGACGAAGAACATGACATCAACGATGAAGAAGAAACGGAAATAGAAAAACGAGCTGCCGCAAGTTGGGAATCTTATGATCAAAGAGATGATTCTGGAGAGAGTGAGAAAAAAGAACGAAAAAATGAAACATCGAGTAAAATGAAGGACGACATTTATATCAGAGAGATAGGACAAAGTGATGCAAATTGTCGTGAAAACGATCAAATTAATGATGACAAACTACGATCATATTAATCCGGTATGATATGATAATTTTAGACATACACGTCCCTCACATCGAATTGGTAAAATGTCGAAGAAAAGGAAGACAGTGAATGAAATCATACAACCACAACAACATTAAAATCGTTTTTAATTCATTTCTAAAAATCTTCGTGCAGAAGATGATAATATGAGATGGGATTGTATGGTGATGTTATGTACTAAATCATCAATGATTTGGATTTATCACTCGTTTATTTATTTACTGCACTACAATGGTTAAACTAAAATTAAAAATAGATGTTCAATCTTAGAATCATTAAGCAAGAAAAAATAAATGAAAGAAATAAATTTTGAATGTTGAAATCTCGCTAGAAAAATCTCCACAATCACAATTATCACCTAAAACAAACTCTAACGGATATTTTAGCATACCATCTGAGAGCATAATTAAGTCGTTGAATGCGATCATTTATAAATGCTATTTTAGGCTCACAGGTCACTAAATTTTTCTTATTTAAAAAATAAGTTTGCGACAAACTTTATAATTGCCTTGCGTTTATTTTAAAACAAATGAAAATGATGAAAATATTACCTTTATGAACTCTTCCAATGTTTCTCTGCCAATAACGGTATAAGGCAACTTATGCAAGCCATCCTTTTGAAGTAGGTACATGGCAACTACCAGGCTCCCGACATCCACATCCCATGCTAGATTTCCTTCTGCGCCATTCACTGCTAACACACGACCACCAGAAGTACTCGTAAAGTGCTGGTACGGATAAGAAGGGTCAGCTGCAAGTTTGTCAATCCCTTGATAATCACGTCATATCAAGTTTATACGCTACTTCAAAAATACTCAACTGCTATAGTTAACGAATAACTTCGCTCACATTTTAAACTGAATTATAACATACTGCCTTATTCAAAACACAGCATTAAGAGTTAGTTCAAGTCTTTTAATTAGTGCTTGTAAAATAACACAACTTACCCGGCAACAAATGACTGGAATAGTCGGTAAAAGTTGCATTCCATCGTCTATTTCGATTTTTTGGATCTACCATTGTTAACTTGTATTCAGATCTAAGAAAAAAACAAATTACTGGTAGGATTTTGCCTAGCAAAATTTACTTCTTTTCAAATATGAAGGATGTTGGAAATTTATATGATATAAATTTCCAACATCCTTCATATTTGCTATAAATTTTAAAAAATTTCACGAAATGGAAATTCCACATTATGCAGTCTTTTATAAAGAAAGATCTGTGAGCAATTTATGGAACTACTTACCTTCCAATAAAAACAGAAGTGTTTTTATTGAGCGGACATTGGCGATCTGTATGATACAATGAAAGCTCACCCACTTTCAACCCTTTAACAGCATCAATCTCGAGCCAGACATCTTTTTTACTCCCTTTAAAAACACAAGATTACTGCTTTACATGGAGAAATTTCAAGTTCTAATCATTTAATTCACACAGTACTCACCAAAAAGGTTTAGAAAGTCACTAAGCAAAACTTTCGAACCATATGTATCAACTAAGCAATTCATATTCACAGAATGAGAACTAAATAACCTGCATAAAAAACACCATCACTGGTGCGACAAGGAGAAGCTGATACAAGTTGTGGAATAGAATAAGGCAACTTCATTAACTGACCATGCTTTAAAACATACAAACCTCCATCTTGTGGGTCAGGTAAAAAAGTGAAATTATCCAAAATTGCTTTCGGAGATATCAATATAGGATCTGAAATGTGACTACGGCTCATGAAGCCACCACTATGCATAACGATTCTGACTTAAATTTAGAAGCAGTTTTAATAGTGTAATGAATTTTATATTTCCATATCACAGTCCATATTCCTTCAATAAGTCCTTCACAATAAGAGGAGTTTTCAGGGAGTGAGAAGATCCAAAAATAATTCACCTTCTTTCAGAGACCACTTTATTTTCCCATCAATAAGATTAATTGCTTTCAAATATCCATCAATAGTAGATACAAAAAGCAACCCATTTAAAACAGTAGGAGAATGAGCTCGAACAATCTGAAAGTATTGAAGCACTAATTAAAATACACTGTCAAACTTTCATAGAATGAAATCACCTTATTTATCTATAGCACTACGAAACTAAATTTCCATGGTTGAGATGACACTCTGCGGTTTAATTCAATAATTAACTTGAATATACACAAATTATTTGTCAATGTATCTTACAATGTTAATGAAAATTGAAGCAAACTTTGAAACAATTCTAAACAATTCTCATGTAAAAGTTAAAGACAAAGTTAGAACGTACGTCTTCATAATCAGCAACAGATATCGATGAAATGAGAATTAAAAATAAGGCATTGAAAGTGAACATTATGCGTTTGACCGTATGCATTCAATATGTGAAACATGTGCAATCGTGAAGGCTTTACAAAGTCTTTTAGAGCCTTCCTTATTAATATTCGCTATCTATAAAAGTATAAACTACCATGAAAAATAAATAACTAAAATTAAAGCACAAGACAACCAGTACTGAGTATTTTTCATTATACTGAAATAAATGCAGATGCTGAATTACTTGAATAAAAAATTATGCTTCTCTAAATAACAGAACAAATATGGAAATATATGTGTAATATTTATACACTAATGTAGAACAGAAAAGAAATCGACTATCTAAAGAAATCCATAGCACGGTACAACATGCTACAGCTGAAATTTTAATATATACTTTTAATTTCAGGAGCATGATTTAATGCGGCCCTAATGTGCAATTTGAAGCTTTTTTCCCTGATATTACTGACATTATCTGTCAACTCCTATAAACATTTCTGGTGTGGCATAGACACGTTACGCAAATCTGATAGTAAAAGCGAATTTTGGGCTGAATTTGTGACTTTTTTGATCGAATTTTTCATTTCAACTAACCTTTTTGCCTGAAATCGTAAGTGAAAACAATTGGAGAACCGGTGAGGTTATTAAAGAAAGCTCCTGAAGGTCGTGGAGAAGCACTCGACCAGTATACCGAAACCAGTGGAACTGAGCGCCCAGCGAGTACAGTAAGAGTGAGGAAATACAACCAAAGCGAGAATCAAGATGACAAAAAAGATTAATCTCGGACCTGCTGCACATAATACATAAATATATATATATAAGAAAAGAAAAATGCGGAGGTTTGTCTTCTTTTTACTGATTCTGACGCTGGTTCGTGTTATTTCTTCAATATTGTTTCTGGCATTCTCGCTGCACTCGTCCCGCGCTCAGTTCTACTGTGCTGATCTCCACTGCTTCGTCTTCGTCAAATCCACGGCACTGATCAAATGAGATGCTTTTGAGAGGTTTCTAGAGTGCTATCCATTAGATACATGCCTCCTTGTGATCAGATACACTGATTTTCTTTGCGAAACGATTGTAAAAAGTTCGTCACTATGCCATTCCAAATTATTACATACGGAATTATTTTGGTCCCGCATTTCATCTCTGATCCAAGTTTATTAGCAAGTAGATCATATTTTCGCTTTTTCTCGGTCTCGACTGCTATCAACCTGTCTTGATTACTGATGTCAACTTTTACTGCACGTCGCTTCTTAACGTGTATCATAATATGCGGTCGACCAGCTTTTATTCTGATTACAGTTCTCACTCGCTTGTCTTTGAGTTTCAAGTTCTTATTCGTGACGACTTTTTGAACAGAATGGCTTCGCAAGTACGGGAGTGCTTTCAAACCATACTTCTTGCAGAGTCCGAAGTGGATGCATCGTAGGACCTCACTGTGTCTTCTGGTATAGTCGTGTTATAACATTTTCTCACACTGCGTTGTTAAGTGGTCCACCGCCTTCACACATTGCCTACAATGTTGGCACATATCTTTCTCAGCTCCAAACATATTTCTGTCTTGGAGGTGAAAGTACCGCGCTTCATCCTGTGAGGAATTATTTCCAAATCGTAGCTGTATTGATGAATCTGACATTAAGGCTAGCTCATTTCTGCGTATTTTGTATAGCCTCGGCATGTCGAGTTTTTTTTTTTCTATTTCGCGGAGTGCTTTCTGAGCTGCAAATACGTTTTTAACATTTGGATTTTCTGCGAGGTTGTACTGAGTCTTCAGATAGGGTACAATAATTGCCAACTAGGGGTTATGAGCTTTCTCCTGCTTCAGAATCGCTGCCCTGCTGGTACAAATGG